CATAAAGAACGCCAACCCCTTTCGCGTGGGCCTCGGGAGCGGTATCAAGTCGTTGAGCGGCGGCTTTGTGGGCGGCCTCGGCTTTGGCGTGCTCACCCTTGTCTCGAGCGTCGCGGGCGGGCTGTCCAACGTCGCGGGGTACACGGTCGATACGATCGACACGACCGTCCCGTCCTACAACCGGCGGCGTCTCGAGGTGCAGCAGACCGAGGTCGGCGGCACGCGCGAGGGGGTGAGGGTGGGCTACCGCGCGCTCAAGGACGGGCTACGCGACGGCGTCGTCGGCGTTGTGGAGCTGCCGCTGCGCGGTGCGCGCGACCGCGGTTTTGGGAGCGCCGGCTTCTGGAAGGGCGCGGGCGAGGGGCTGGTGGGGCGGGTTCGATAAGCTTTATGTGCGCTGGGCTGGCGCCCGTGGTAGGTGCAGCAGGTGCTGCGCGGGTCAAAGTCCAGAGCGCCGCGTCTCTTTCGCTAGTAACCGTGCGTCGATCCTTGCAGCGCGCGGACTCGCGGGAGGACGGGGCCGGCAGGCACGGCGCACCGTCTCCTCGAACCGGGCTCCCGATCTCGCCGTCCTCGAGTTCTCCAGGCTCTAGATCTTTGCCCCGGCGCTTGCCGCCCGACGCGTTGGGACGCATCAGCACGCCGCCGGCCCCGTCCACCAGCGAGTCAGCGCGCCGCAAGGATCGACGCACGGTTACTAGCGAAAGAGACGCGGCGCTCTGGACTTTGACCCGCGCAGCACCTGCTGCACCCACCCCGGGCGCCACCACCGCGCACCGGCTAGCCTGTTTATTCACGGCCTCGGCCGCTGCTGCGCAACCGGGAGCGGCCGCGGCGAGCGGAGCACGGACGATCGGGTAGCGAGGCCTGCGCCGAGGCGCAAAAGGCAGTGTGTGCGCGCGGCGCGGCGGCTGGCTGCTGGCGGTTGGCGGTTGGCGGTTGGCGGTTGGCGGCTGTCGGCTGTCGGCTGTTGGAGCTATGGAGCATTGACCCACCCGGTGGCAGTGATGGTGGTGGCGGCGGCGGCGCCAGTCCGTGGCGGAAGCAGCTCGAGGCGTTCTGCTTGAAGCTGCGCGGCATCAGCACCGAGCAGACCAACCAGGCGGCTGCTGTGAGGTGTGAGCATTGCAAAAAACGAAGTTACGATTCGTTATGTGTGTGAAAGCGGCGCGGCACTGTAGGAGCGGAAAAACCAAAGTGATATTGCTAAAAATCTCTTAGGAGCGGCGGTACGGCAGTTTAAAAATTGATTCTCTCGATGACGATGTCTACTTCCATCCACGCGAAAGTCGAACTCCATCGGCGCGGGCTCTCTCGGCTACGGGACCGGCCCCAGCTTCGGCTGAGGGCTAACAAGCTGCCGAGCCCAAATCACTGTGAGTCGTGATTTCTTGTTGGTCTTCAAAAATCTCTCTCCACGCGAGTCACCCAGCTTTTTCAGTGTATGTAGCTCTTACGAACATACCCGTAGGTGAACTGCTGACAGGGTTTATAAATAGAGCAGGCATCTCCAGGAGAGATGGGCGACGCACGAACACAGAGGCACAGTGCGCACCCCGCCCCGCTCGCAGGGCGTGCATCTTACATCTGGACCCGACGTTGCACCGAGCAAAACTTCTTCTCCGGGGACGGCCGCGACTTGCCGTTTCCTTTCTGGCAGCCATGTCGAGCGCCACCTTCGACCTGCAGTGCGCGCCTCCCCGCCGCCGGCCATACTCCCCATTCGCCGCAGCCCTTCCCGGACGGTCCGCCGCCCCGCCCTCCAGGTGGAAGGAGGGCATGGTCGAGCTTATCGACCAGCTCGAGCTCTGCGACCCGCAGTCGAGCGCGGCCGCGCGCAGCCGCATCGAGAGCCTGGTGAGTCGGCGTCCCGGCCCTTTGCACGAGGGCGCACGCGCTGACAGTGCCACGGACGCGTGTGGCGCAGGACGCAACCGAGCAGTTCCAGCATTTTGCCACGCTCTACATCCGGTGCCAGCACGGCCGCAGAGGAGGAGCCTTTGGGATTCGCGCTCGGCCGCCCTGACGCCGTGGAGCGGGTTCGCAGGTATCTGCAAATCTTCCGGAGGCTCGAGGAGAGCTACGACCAGACGGTCCATCCGCAGAAGCGGAGGGACGTTCGCAAGGTGCGAGCCCGCGAGACGTGCCCGGTGGGTTCCGTCCAGCGCGTGTGGCCGCGGGCTGCGTTGGGCCGTGGCCTGGGCGGCGCGACGGGAGAGCCAGCTCGCGCCCCCTCGCGCCCCCTCGCGACAGTTTCACACCCAGACCACGCCCGCCGCCTCAGTCGCTCGACGGCGTGATTGGGCGGCTGCTCGAGCTGCGCGAGGTTCTCGTCGAGAAGAATGGCGGCGTTCCGTTTTTCAACCTCGATGAGGTGCTGGTCGACCTCAAGCTCGGCCCCGAGGTGCTCGAGGTGCCCGTCCCAAAGTACATTGTGGAGGACCAGGGCCGCACGCTCGCGGAGCGCGAGCGGCTCCTCGACGCGCTGCTCAAGCGCCACGCCAGCCGCGACGAGCAGGGCGAGGAGGACCCCGCCGTGCAGATGGACATTGACGAGGCGCTCAAGATTATCCAGGCCAACGAGCGAGGCCGGCAGGGGCAGCAGCGCGCAGAGGGTGTCAAGGCCGCGCGAGAGAGGGAGGCCTGGGAGGAGAGGCGGCGGGCGGCGGAGGAGGAGGGCGACGAGGACGGGCCCGAGGCGGCTGCGACGAGCCTGCAGGCCGCCTGGAGGGGCAGCGCCAGCCGGAGGGCGACGGCGCTGATGCGCGACGAGGAGCTGGTCTTCATCGGGATGGCGCCGCCGCCGCCCTTCCCCAAGGAGGGCGATCCGCGGCTGCGCGAGCGGCAGACCAAGGCGCGGCGCAAGCAGATGCAGATGCAGCACGAGGCCGAGTACCGCGACGCGCTCGTCGCGCAGGACGCGGTGGTGTACGAGACGGAGGGGCCAGACATGAAGGAGGAGATGATGGACCAGCTGCGCGACTGGTACATCCGGTACCGCGAGCGCGAGGGCAAGTTCCCAGACTTCCCGCCGGAGGAGGTGGAGAAGCCGATGCCGGGGGACGCGGCGGAGGGCGCGGAGGAGAAGGGCGCCGACGCCAAGAAGGACCCGAAGAAGGACGGCAAGAAGGACGGCAAGAAGGGCGCGGAGGACGACGGCGAGGGCCCGCCGCCGCTGCCGCCGCACTTTATCAACACGATGAAGGACTCGTACCAGGAGTGGTCCGACAAGTGGCAGCACCGCGACGAGCGGCTCAACTTTGCGCAGCGGCACGACGTGGAGCTGGTGCGGCAGAGCGTGCGGCCCGACGTCGAGCTGCGGGTGCGCGCCGAGGTGAACGAGCTCATCGGCCGCGAGCTGCAGAACTTGCAGGAGGAGTTCGAGCGCGCCCAGGGCAAGAAGGGCAAGAAGGGCAAGGGCGGCAAGAAGGGCAAGGGCAAGAAGGGCAAGGGCAAGGGCAAGGGCAAGGGCGGCAAGGGCAAGAAGATGCCAAAGGACCCCACGGCCAGCCTGTCGCTCGAGTACCTCTACGAGCAGCTCGTCGGCGACGGCATCCTCAAAAAGGTGGACCCGGTCTCGCTCGAGGACTTTGTGGGCTCCTACGGCTTGCTGGGGCAGGCGATGGACAAGCTCGCCGAGGCGGACCCCACCCGGCTGCCCAACCCCTCCTTTGCGCAGATCCGGTCGGCGGTGACCGAGTACTGCATCCTCCCGCTCGGCTCGGACGCCGTCAAGAGGCACTGCCCGCTCAATACCGCGCCGAAGGGCTCGAAGCGCGTTGAGAAGAATGGGACGCCGGTGTTGCTGTGCGGGGTCCCTGGGAGCGGCAAACGCATGCTCGCGCACGCGGTCGCCTCCTCGTGCGGCGCCAACCTCTTTGACCTGACGCCCTCCAACACGGAGGGCAAGTACCCTGGCAAGAAGGGGCCGGGCGACCTGGTGCACACCGTCCTCAAGGTGGCCAAGGCGCTGCCGCCCTCGGTGGTGCTGATTGGAGAGGCCGAGTCGGTCTGGGTCTCCGGCAAGAAGAAAGGCGGAGGCGACCCTCCCAACCGGATCCTAAAGGCCCTCACCTCGCTGCTCGCGCCAAAGAAGGGGGCCGCGCTGCTCGAGCCCAGCGACCGCGTCCTCATCCTCGGCACCTCGAGCCAGCCGTATGCGTGCGAGAAGGCCAAGGACTACAACGCCTTCCGCGATTTTTTCTGCAAGATTCTCTACCTCCCTCTCCCGGACTATGCCGCGCGCTGCAAGCTGTGGACGCACCTGCTCGAGCGGGCGGGGCTCGACCGGCCTTGCTTGGACGACGTGCAGGCGTTGGCGCGCGTCTCGGACGCCTTCTCCGCCGGTGCCATCGCGGAGGTGGTTCGGAGGACAATCACTCCGCGCCGCGTCGAGCGGCTGGCGGCCAAGCCCTTTTCGGTGCACGACCTCGTGAGCCAACTCGCGCAGCAGGAGCCGGTGTACCGCGAGGACGACGCGGCCATGCGCGGCTGGTACCACAAGACTCTTGGGATCGGAGTGGAGCCCGAGCCGGAGGGGGGGGGCAAGGAAGCCAAGGGGAAGGAGGGAAAGGGGAAGAAGAAGGGGAAGAAGTGAGGTGTCTGTCGAGGGGGACGTGTCTCGTGTGATCATGCGCCTCTCACTTGTCTCTTGTGTTGTGATGTCGAAGCACGAAGGGTGTGTGGTATCCGCCCAAACGCGGCCGAGAGAAGTACACATCAGCCTCTGTGACGTCCGCCCGTCAAAGTCGGGTCCGCCCGTTACGAGAATGGACGCTAAACTGAGCCTGAGCCTCGAGGCTCGCCGCCAGCGTGAGGCGGAGCGGCTAGCTCGGATCAAAGACCCCCAGGCGTACAAGCGGGCGGTCGATCCCGCCGAGCTGGCCAGGCAAGTGGCCGAGAAGCAGCAGATCAGGCAGACAGAGGCAGACTTTGCTGCGACTGCTGATGCGGAGCGGATTGCCGTTGACAACCAGCTGGTGCAGCTGGAGGAGGAGCGGCGGCGGGCCGAGCGGAAGCATCTCGCTGAGCTTGACACGTACCGGAGCACGTTGCAGGGACGCGCCACCTCGCGCGACCACGACCTCTCTGACCCGACGGCGCTGCGTCGGGAGCAGCCGGGCCGGGTCTCCGATGATGACGAGCGGCTCGGCGCGAGTTCAATGCAGAAGTTCCACGGCGAGGACCTGGCCATCTCTCACCGCGTCAAGGGCCAGCAGGAGGAGCTCCGCTCGTGGTTCGGAGAGGCGGTCCGGGAGAAGGAAGCGGCTCAAGCCGAGGCGGCGCAGAGTGACGCCGACTTCTCCTCGTCAATGTTGCAGATCGACGGGCTCAAGAGCTCGCTGGAAGCATCGGCGCAGGCGAAGCGCAGGGAGGCCTACTCGGCCGTCGCCGAGTACAACCTCGCCCAGGCCCGTGCCAAGAAGGAGCGTGAGCGCGCGGCGCAGGCCGCAGAGGTGCGCGACAACCTTGCCGAGATTGAGAACAACCTCTCCTCCACCCTTCTGAACGAGGACCCGTCGGTCAGCCGCTCGTACATCTCGCCGAACCGGGTGCGGCCGGACCACTTCAAGGGCTTTTCTGCCGACGAGCATCAGGCCATCCTTCAGCAACAGGCGGAGCAGGCGACAGAGCGGCAAGAGGCAGAGGCCGAGGAGCGCGCGTGGAGCTCGCAGGTGGCGGAGGAGATTGAGCATATGCGGCAGGTGCGCTGCTCGACCGAGGCGCAGCTGGAGGCAAAGAGGGCGGAGATGCGGCGGGTCTTTGCTGAGGAAAACCGACAGCTCGCCGAGACGCAAAAGTCCAACCAGAGCTTCTTGGACTCCGTCGTCTACCCAAACCAAGTCTCGGAGCACTTCTTCAGCTTCTTTAACACGACCTCCCGGTGAGGGCGAGGGAGAGATGGGTCTGTCGATTGGCTGCTCTTTGCGCTGACCGAGGAATTCCTTTGCTGTGTCTGTCCGGCAGCGCCACTGCACAGGGGCGTGCGAGACCGAGAGAGTGTGTGGGGTAGTTTGCTCTGGGGGGGGGGGGGGGGGCGGTGCCGCGGTGCCGCGGTGCCATCCTGCTTCATCCCGCGTGCCATCCCGCTTCCGCCGTGTTTCATGGGCGTGTACGCGCACAGCGCCCGTGCGCACTCCGCAGCGTGGGACTGGCCCGTGGCCGCAGTGTGAGACCACGTGGTCATGTGGCCGTTGGCATTTTGAAATTTTCAAATACTATTTCGTATTTGGGTGTGCTCTGTGGCGGAACTGGAGGCGCGCGCGCCCAGGACGCCAGAGGCACGGCAGAGCGCCGGGCCCGGGGCGCGGGGGTCGCAAAAAAGCCGCGCACAGCGGGCCACAGGCCCAGGCGCTCGCGAAAAAGTCGAGATATGCACTCCAGATATGCAGTCCAATTCATGAACGTGTGAAAAATATTAGTACAACGTATGAACACAGAGAGACGGACAGATGCGTCCTCGACGTATATGCGTGACAACAGACAAGGGAACTCTGACGGCATCACCTGCACGTGGATTGCGCTAGTCTCTCTTCGTGTTGCCCACGTTCCCTCCGCTGCGAAGCTGCGCGCCGAACTCGTTGATGAACCTACAGCAAAGCACTGTCGTTCGATCGCGGCCATCCTCCACGCAGAGCGGCGGCGGCGGCAGCGCGCACCAGACGACGATGGCCAGCAGAATTACCGCCATGCTCGTGAAGACCTTGAGATGGAACGCGACGTCCTGCGACAACGGAGAGGGGTGTCATCCAGGCGCACCCCCTCTACTCCTTGAGGGGAGCGAGTGTCGCGACCGGGTCGTCGATGTAGCAGCACATGACGAGGAGCACGCAGATGAGGAGAACCAGCGAGGCCTTCAGCGTGATGAAGACGCCATTCCCGACGCCCGGCTGCAGCAGCGAGTCGAGCCAGGAAGGAAGCCCGAGGTCCTTAAGAGGGGACTGCTGGGCTGTGGCCATATCGCTAGCGTTGAGAAATGGTGCGCGCACACCGCACAAAAAGAAATCGCCGCATTCGATGTGGTGGCGGCGTGCCGTCCTCCCATTCCTCCCTTGGGTTGTGTGTGTTTTCTTCTTCTTTCTTTTCTACCCGTCTAACAACCTGATTCTCTTCCGATCTCTCCTCCACCGCGAGGCCGAGTCCCACACGCTCTATATACGCGATCTGATGCCTCCTCCTCGCTCCATACTCTCCCGTCCAGCCTCTCCGGGGTGCTTCCCCAGTAAGTCGCGGGGTGTGGCCCTCGCTATGCCGAACACCGCCCCCTGGCTACAGCCCCTTTGCACGTGTCAGACGAGCGCGTCGCCTACGGGCTCAAGCCAACGGAAACGGGTCCGGGGAGAGGTGCGGGTGGCTGAGGGGCAGGGAGGCGGGGCAGCTGGCGCCGCTCTGGGAGGCTCGATTCCGTTGCCGTCGGTAGCCGCGGCTGCGGAGCCAGAGCTTCTGCGAGAGGCCCGCACACAAGAGGTGGACCCAGTGCGCCGCCATGCCTGGTGGCAGGGCGGGGCGGCGGTGAGGGCGGGCGGCGCTCCCGGGTCTCGCTGTCTCTCTGTGGGGCGAAGAGCGTGGGGGGCGAAGGCGTGGGGGGCGCGGGGCGCGGCGCGGGACGGTGAGAGGGGTGCGGGTCCGCGCCGAAGAAGAGGACGGCGAAGGCGAGGTAGGGGAGGATGAGGAAGAGGGCAGCCTGCGCGCGGCCGGGGCGGCTGAGCGGGTGGGCTGCTGCGTTGCGCCTCTCGAGCGGGGCAAACGCCGGGCGGTGTCTAGGGAGTGTCTAGGGAGTGTCTAGGGAGCGTCTAGGGAGCGTCTAGGGAGCGTCTAGGCAGGCGCCGGGTTGTGGCTCGGCCTCACGTCTGCCCACCTGCGAGGCCGCGCGAGAGAGAGGCCGCCTGGGGGGACTCGCCGGCGGGGTGGGCGGGGCAGAGGGGCGGGCGGGGGCGGGCGGACATGTCTGTGACGAGCGGCATCACCACCAAGGTGGCCGTGACTAGCGCCAGCAGCCACGCGCCCGCCACCGCGCCCGGCATGAGCATGATCAAAGGCAGCACCCCCTCGCACGCCTCAGAGCGAGCGCTGGGCGAGGGAGGGGGAGGGGCGCGTGAGGCGGCCGGGCTGCACGCAGCGGCAGCAGCGCAGCGGCAGCAGCGCAGCGGCAGCAGCGCAGCGGCAGCAGCGCAGCGGCAGGGAGAGGGGAAGGAGAGCCGAGGCGTGGCGTGCGGCGAGTGCGTGCGGGGGCGGCTGGCACCAGCCGCGGAAGCAAAAGAAGACGAGGACGAGCAGCAGCTGGGGAGAGGGGTGAGGCGGTGGGGTGCGCGAAGGGCGGTGTGGTGGGTGGTGTTGGGTGGTGAGGCGAGGGGGCGGCGCGAGGGTTGTGGCTTGTGGTTGGGGTTTGTGGTTTGTGGGTTGTGGGTTGTGGCTCGCGGTTGTGGTATGGGAGGGGTGGTGGCACCAGCGCGATGGTCATCTTGAGGGGGTCATGCTCGAGGGCGAGAGTCGGGCCGGGCGGGGCAGCCATCTGGAGGGAGGAGGGGGGGGGGGGGGAGGGGAGGGAGGGGTCGGCGAGTCGAGCATGAGGCCGAGAGGGCCGAGAGGGGCCACGCCCTGAGCGAGCGGTGGCGTGGTGGCGAGAGGTGGCGAGAGGTGGCGAGAGGTGGCGAGAGGGCGAGCGGGAGGAGAGGAGGGAGGAGAGGAGGGAGGGGCTGGGGGGGGTGCGGGGGGGGCAGCCTCGTAGACGGAGAGGACGCAGCAGGCGGTCAGGAAGGTGGCGAAGGAGGCGAGGCTGTGGAGGTGGGGAGGGGGCGGTCGGGAGGTGAGGCGGGGAGGGGCTGGCGGGCGGTGGTCGCCAGCAGGCCGACGAGGGCCTGACGTCTCGGGGAGTCTGGGAGGTGTCTAGGAGGTGTCTGTGAGGTGTCTGGGAGGTGTCTGGGAGGTGTCTAGGAGGTGTCTGGGAGGTGTCTAGGAGGTGTCTGGGAGGTGTCTAGGAGGTGTCTGGGAGGTGTCTAGGAGGTGTCTGGGAGGTGTCTAGGAGGTGTCTGGGAGGTGTCTAGGAGGTGTCTGGGAGGTGTCTAGGAGGTGTCTGGGAGGTGTCTAGGAGGTGTCTGGGAGGTGTCTAGGAGGTGTCTGGGAGGTGTCTGGGAGGTGTCTGGGAGGTGTCTGGGAGGTGTGTAGGAGGTGGTTGGGAGGTGTCTGGGAGGAGGGAGGTGTCTGGGAGGTGTCTGGGAGGTGTCTGGGAGGAGTCTGGGAGGTGTCTGGGAGGAGTCTGGGAGGTGTCTGGGAGGAGTCTGGGAGGTGTCTAGGAGGTATCTGTGAGGTGTCTGTGAGGTGTCTGTGAGGTGCTGTCTGGGAGGTGTCTAGGAGGTGTCTGGGAGGTGTCTGGGAGGTGTCTGGGAGGCGCCTGAGCAGGAAGCCGACGAAGTAGTGCATGTTGCCGTCGCCTGAGTGACGCGTCGTCGGACAGTGGACAGGACGCGTCGTGGCCGTGTCACGGTGCGTGTGTCCTGCAGCCGCCCGAGTCGGTTATGCGGTCCTCGACGGCGGCGCTGCCGACAATGGCGCGTACGACGTGTCTACGATGTGACTGTGACCGGGTCGTGGCTAGGAGAGGTGTCTCGCCGATGTCGTTCCCGACAAAGTCGCAAGAGTGGTCGAACCCGCGCACGTACCGGTTGGAGTCCTGGCGGGGAGAGGGCTGGCGCTAACACGCCGCGCGTGGCGAGGGGAGGGCGGCAGGGGCGCGACTGCGCGCCTGGCAGTACGAGTACGCCTCGCCGGGGTGCTCGAAGCCCTGCTCGCGCCCTGCGGTCGGGAGGCGCGGCTGCGGTGGGGAGGCGCGGAGGTGCTGCTGGCTGCTGCTGCTGCAGGGCAGAGAGGCGGACGCGTGGCGCGGAAGCTAAATCTGCATCGCTCGCCTCCGACGATGTACGGCGCCGTCCGCGGTGCGACGCCGGGGTTGGTGTTCGAGACGAGGCAGAAGAAGAGCGCAGAAAGACCAAACAGTGCGAGCGCGGCCCTCGTGAGCGTGCTGCCGTGCTCCAGCTCGAGCCCCGGCGCAACCAGCAGCAGGAAGAGCGTCGGAAGCAGCAGCAGCAGTAGCCACGCATTGCAGCAGACGCAGTTGAAGCTGCCGTAACCCAGCGGTCCGTACTCATCGTTCCAGTGGCTGCCGGCCACAGCCTCGACGGCGCGACTGGCCACAGGCGCTTCGCTCTGGTCGGCAGCCTTCTCCTCGACCTTCTCCTCCTCCTCCTCAAGCATGGAGGATGGCAGCAAGCCGAGAGGCGTAAGGCCCCGCGAAACGAGAAAAACGGCCGACTACCCACTTCTCTCTCTCGAGGCGTACCGTCCTCCCATCCCTCCCTTGGGTTGTCTGTTTTCTTTCTTTTTCTCTCTCGAGGTTCTCGAGGTGGATATCCTTTGGCCGCGTTGGGCAGCGAGGATTGGTGTGACGCGATCCACGCAGGCGTGTTTTCTGACGCGCTGTTTTCTTTCTTTAGAAGCCTAGGTACTTACGTACACCTTACCCTACTCGCGGTAGCGAATTTTGAATTCTTTTGCCAGCGGAAGGCAGATACGCTCACAGGCCGACGCCCACCAAGGGTGGGCGACGGCTAGGGGCTAGCACCACACTCCTCTCCTTAAAATCCCTGAAACACACAAAGCGCGTGAACAGGGCCCATCGCCTCCAGCCGCTTCGACCCAGGCTGAAAGCTCGCAAGCTGGGCTAGGACGGCGCGGGCGTAGCCGGCGCTGCCCGGCGTCTGCGCAACAGCCAGAGCGACAGGCTCGAGGCTGCTCTTGTCCCTGTACTCTTCAGGCTCCGACCATACGCGGTGCGCTGTGCGTTGGCTGAGAGGACCGCGACCTCGGCTGGATTTGCATATGGCGTCATCTCCCTGACGCTCGACGCGCATCTGCTGCAGGTAGTGGCCGAGTTGTGGTTGACAGCGTCCTTGCAATGCCGACACAGCCACCACTCCGCCCGCAGCTGCGGCATCGTGCGCCATTCGGCGGCCGACGGTGTCTGACCGCGCTGCGCTCGCAGCTGCAAAGACGCCGCAGCGAATGCCGCCGGACCCGCATCCGGAACAGCCAGGATTCCGGCTGCCGTTGATGCTCCATCGCCCGCAACAGGCGTGTACAATGCTGCAGCACTGCACCGAGAGGCGCAGCAACCTCGACCCGGGTGTTGCTCGAGTCCGTAACGCCCGCCGGGCGAATACGATTGCCTGGCCCTATCGCCAAACGGCCCTGCTCCTCCTCTTGTCTGGCAGCAAACGCAAGCTGCGGCACAAGCCGCGTTGGCGCAGAGGAGGCGGCAAGCCTCAACGCGCCTACCCGTGGCATGCCGCCGGATCGAGTCAAGACTAAGGCTGCAGGATTCGGCCCCGCCTGCTGCGAGTGCCCTCCTGCTGAGGTAGCTGGCTTGGCCACGTCGCGCGCATGGACTACGACCGGCTGCCGCGCCGCATGCTCTCCGCGTGGGTGCCCCACCGGCGGCCCATCGGTGCGCCGCGCGTGACTTACGGTTACGCGGTCGATCTTCAAGGCACTCGCGAAATTCGGCATCGACTCGGCGCGCTGGCATCTACTCGCGGCTGATCGCGCTGCGTGGCGCAAGACGCTGCGGTCAGGCCGCTCGCCCCGGCCGAGTTCCGCCCGCCTCCGGCTTCTCCGTCGCCCGAGCGCATCTCGCGCACTAAACACCCGTGCGGGGCTGCACCGCGGCCACGATGGCTCGCGTTAGCGCTTCGCTGCGCCTCTTGGCTTGAGTCAGGCTTCGGGCCTGACCTAATCGCTCGCTCACGCGCGGGTGTGCTTGGCTCAAGCCAAACAAGTTAAGAAACACTTATGGCTCTCTGATGCCCAATGCGTGCACTCGTGCCTCTCTCTGTATGTGTGGGTTCGTGTGTGCGGGGCGTTTGAGCGCGGAGGCTCAGAGCCGGAGGGTGGCTGGCTGAAGGATTGTAAAGGACCAGAAAGGCACGTCTAGGACATCGCGACAGACAAGACGCGCCGACTAAGGGACGTCCACGTGACACGATTGTGGTCGTTCAAACTGATCTCGATCGAGCCGGCAAAACGGCTCGTCGAAAGCTCGCCCCCCTCGTGGGAAGCTTCTCCCCGGGGTGCCATGTGGACATCACAGACGGAGCTTTTGACGGAGCGTTGGTGCGACTCAGATCCGAAGGCGACCCAAGTCTTGACGCGAGCCACGCAAGCCGCCGCGAGAGCGCAAGAGGCAGTGTACCCTTTGCATGCGTAGGCTGTGAGAAAGCGGGCGGCGATGAGCAGGCCGCGGACAAATAAATTGATGGTGACGACAAAGATGGCGGTGGCGATTGGGAGGGTGACAGCGTTAGTGCCGTGCAGCATCAGAAATTCACGGTTGATCCAGAGCATAGAGCGGCGGCGCCGGCGTATGCCACGAAGTCCATGAGCACGAGGACTGCAGTAAGGACCTGATCTGCTGTAGGCTCTTCGTCGAGTAAGACGGTGTCGAGTGCGACGGTGGCCATGTCATCGCGCTGGGGCGTGGCGGGTTTGTCCGCCATGGCCTGGTGGGCGGTTTGCATCTCACCGGAGGTACCACGTTTGAGCGCGGAGGCTCAGAGCCGGAGGGTGGCTGGCTGAAGGATTGTAAAGGACCAGACTAGGGACCAGAAAGGCACGCCGTCTAGGACATCGCGACAGACAAGACGCGCCGACTAAGGGACGTCAACGTGACACGATTGTGGCACAGAGGGTGTGATGCTGGAGTATCGACATTCATGGGGCACGGCGCAGGATGCGCCGTGCTAGTACACCGTGTGTAGCGTGTGTGAAGGGTAGCACAGGCGTCCGAATTCAGACGCGGGGGCCCTCCTTGTCTCTGCCTTGACAGTGTGAGATAACACCTACCTACCTACCTACCCGTGTGGTGGCGGGCCTGGCGGCGTGCCGTCCTCCCATCCCTCCCTGTAGGTATGTTGTTGGCCTCCGTGGGGTTTTATTTCTTTCTTTCTTTCTTTCTTTACAAAGCCAGACGTCAGGGCATACCGGGGCCCGACTGCGATAGAAAAACGCGGGCTATCAGCAAAAAAGAATTTTACCACCTCCATCCTCCTGGATCTAACACAAAAAAGAAAATTGATCGCCTCATGTGTGTGTTCGACGCCTGCTGACTGACAGCTTTCCTGCGGAGGACACACACACACATGGTGCGTCAGCGCGCGGCTAGTCTTGACACCCTCAGCGCGAAGGGTCGCATGCAGATGAGGATCGGTGATGGAGTGCCTTCGGAGCAGCTATTGCCGTTCGCCGAGGCGCTGCACGCCTCCGGACAGGGCATCACGGCGGAAGACGCCGACGAGTCGTCCCTCGTCGAGGCGCTGCGGCTGATGCGGCAGGCCCTCGGCATCCACGAGCGGTGCATCGGTATACCGGGCTACGACGTGCTGCGCCACGCGAGGTGCATCATCGACGTCGGCGCCACGCTGCGAAGGATGAGCCGTTGGCCCGAGGCGCGGCTGACGCTGCAGCAGGCGGCGGCCATGCTGAGCGAGGTGGAGTGCACGCCCGAAGAGTTCGAGTCGAGCATTCAGCCCCTCAACCGGGAGGCATACGACCTGATCAGCGAGGTGCGCGCCGCCGAGGCTCTCGCAAAGATGGATGTCGCGAGCTCACCGGTCCAGCGGTTCTGGCGGGCGCACCAGCGCCGGAAGAGCGCGACGAGCACGCTGCAGACGTTCGCGCGGCGCGCCCTCGGCGGCGAGCACTTTGAGCGGCGGAGGTCCGAGCGCCACCTCCTTGCCGTCCTGACCGTCCAGCGGCGGGTGCGCAGCATGCTCAGCGTACCCCAAACCCCAGCCCCAGCCCCAGCCCTACCCTCGCCCTGCCTCCGCCTAGGTGCGCGGCTGGCTCGGCCGCGCTACCGCCGTGCGGTGGGCTTCGGACCGGGCGTCCGCCACGGCGGCGCTCGCGGAGGCGGAGGCGGCGGCGGCGGCAGAGACCGCCCAAGGCAAGGCGGTGGCGGACGCGATCGCCGGCGCCCTCGACGGCGTTGTCGAGGCGTACGGCGCGAGCGAGTCGGAGCGGGGAGGGCTGTGGACGAGGCACCGCGCGGAGCTGGTTCGCCACCCGCAGCTGCGGCACGCGATGGCAGCCGTCGCCGCGGATTTGGTGGCTGGGCTGGGCGCGCTCGGCGTGGTCGAGGCAGAGGGCGAGGGCGAGGGCGGGGAGGCCGCGGGCGGCGGCGTGGAGCAGCGGTGCGCGCAGGTGAGGAAGTCTCTTCGGTCGATTATGTACGTCGACCGGCGCAAGGATTGGTTCTTTGTGCGCGCCTACACCTGTGTCGACGAGGAGAGCCGAGATGAGTCCGAGATGGAGATGTGTCCGAGATGCAGCCGAGATGCAGCCGAGATGCAGCCAAGCCATAGACTACGCTTGCGGGAGGCGGGGTACCCTCGGGGGGAGGGGTACCCTCGGGGGGCGGGGTATACAGGGGGGGGCGGGGTCCCCCGATCCTTCTCTGCCACCCTGCTACAGGAGAGCTTCTCGTACGTGCTGGTGGACACGGGCGGGCATGTCGACAACAACAGCGCCACCTCGGCGGCCTCGCGCTCCTTCACGCACCCGCTCGCAGCGCTGAGCGCGCGCATCTCCAACCTGAACAAGTACGAGTTCGAGGTGACGGTGCTGAAGGGGAGCGGCGCAAAGCAGGCGCGTTTCCGCGTGGAGAGGTGTCCCGGCCACGCCCATGACATGTCCGAGACATGTCCGCAGGTCGAGCGCTTCCGCGTCGAGACGTGGGCCATGCTGCATGCGTGGGTCAACGGGCTGACGCTGCTCTCCACCATTGCCCGCGCTCGCGCACAGAGCTCCTCCCGCGCCGTGTGACGGGGAGCACGCGCCTCGCAGCAGGGACCGCACCCTTCATGCACGTTCTCTCGATTGCTCTTGAGATTGGCAGATGCCCCGCGGCCTCAACGGTACACGGTCCTGCCTCCTCCGTTTTGCGCAGATTGAGACCCCCCCAGATCTTCTATGTGGTCAGATGTCCGTGTTCGGTCCGTGAAAGCTCCAGTGGTGTGTGTGTGCTGGAGCGCGCAAATCCGAACCACAACGCGCGCGCGCTTGTCCTGCCCCCTCAGCCGCCCTCTCACTATCCAGGTCCTATCTCGCTTGAATTTTTATTCGTCGTATGTCGTACATATTGACCAGCGCTTGGTCACATCGGCCCCGAGGTCAGATCCTTCTACTCTGTTGATGACAAGAAGACTTGTGTGTACGGGGTGTGGACCCTGAGTTGACCAGGGGTTGTGCGCCGGGCCCTCCTGCTCGGCTCCAGCGAGTAGACAAGTGTTGTCATCAAGACAGAGTAGAAGGATATCTGACCTCGGGGCCGATGTGACCAAACGCTGGTAGCGTGGTTTAACCTCACACCCATGGTCTCACAGTGTGCCGGCAGTCGCCGAGCAGTGTCGCTCACACAAGCCGCAGCACAAGTGACTGAGGGCCAGTGAGGGCGAGCCCATCGCTGTCACAGCTGTGGCAGCCGCACAGAGTAAGCTGTGCCATCTGTGCAGAGTGTGTGAGCAGCAGAGGAGCTGCTCTCCAGGCTTCTGTCGCAAAGAAATGCATGCCACCGAAAGCGCTGTCGAGGTTCGCCGAGCGCGGCGCAGGTTGAGGGAAGCCGTCACCGACGAGCGCGTTGGACTTTTCACTCCGGACAAAAAACGCGGCACAGCGGACGGTGCGGGGCGTGCCGCAAACTTAGCGGCGAGGCGCGGGACCGTCTGTGGCGAAGTGGGTCGCGTCCCTCGATTTCCTCAACTCACGGTCCGCTCCCTCTACTGCGGAGCTGGAGCGCGTGGAGCCGAGCAGGAGGGCCCAGCGCGCACAACCCCTGGTCAACTCTCGCAGGGTCCACACCCCGTACCCAACCAGCAACCAGTGACGACCTCGGCTCTAGTTGCCGACCACACCCACAAAGAATCCCTGCACAAGATCGCAAGGGCGGGGACCTGCTCCTTTTTACCCATCCCTCACAGTAGAGCTAGAGCTGGTTTTTATTTTATTGATTATTTTTTATTTATCATTTTGTCGCTGCACAGAACAAGAACGAGTCGATTGGACCGCGACACATATTGCTATCGTCGACGTGCACACATTGCTATCGACGGTCCCAGAAGCGCTGGTAGTCGTTGCAACCCTCCATGGCGGAAAAGTGGCCGTCAACGCGGATGCGGTGCTGATTGGACGACTCGAGCACAAAGCCGCCCGCGCGGGCTTTCTCTCGCAGCGCCGAGTCCTTCGCCGCCAGCGACGGGAGGCTTCGGCAGCAGCTGCATGCGGGCGCGCCGTCCTTTGGCATCGCGCAGAGGACGGTCTTACTCGGCGACTGCTCGAAGAAGGTGTGGCCAAAGAGGATCGCCTGCGCCGTGGGAGGGGGGCTCAGCCGCCGTCTCCCGAAGAGGGGCCTCTCTTTTCCGAGAGGCCAGAGGGTGGGGGGGGGAGGAGGATTCCACCGTGTCCGAGCGGCGCCAGCAAGGGTCGTCGTCCGCCGCGCTGCGCGAGCGGTTCCGCGCGTCGCCCAGGCTCCAGCCGAATGCGGCGAAGGCGCGCTGCCGCTTGACCGCCATCGAGTACACAAAGTGCGTCGCGACGAGCACGCCGGCCGCCGCGCCGGGCGCAGGCTGCGCGGCGGTCGGCGTGCAGGAGGCTCGCTGCTGCTCGTCCTGCGCGCCCCACGAGGGGAGGGCCGCGCGCAGCAGCGATAGAGGGCGGCGCACGTGCGTGAGGCAGCCGCGCCCAAACAGCCAGTCGGGCGCGAGGGCGATCCGCTCGTCTCGCCGGAGGCCGGCCAAGGGGCGGCGCGGCCGGACGAGCTGGACGAGGAAGGCGGTCTTGCGGCGGGCCTCGAGGACCGCGCCGCACCCGCCTTGGTCGGCGAGGGAGCAGGTGACGCCAGCCGGGTAGGGGTGGGCCGACGCTCCGGAGACCACCGCCCAGTGCGATGCGGGCTTGGGCGGCAGCGAGGCGGAGTCGGGAGCGGCGAGCTCGTCGACCGCTTTCCGCATGAATGGCTGGTCGATGAGGGCCTGTATTATATTATATTATATTATATTATATTATATCTTTCCGCATGAATGGCTGGTCGATGAGGGCCTGCGTGTCGTGGGGCGAGGGGTCGGGGTGTGAGGGGTCGGGGCGAGGGGTCGGGGTGTGAGGGGGTGGTGGGTCGACTTGTGGGCGGGGTGGTGGTGGGGTGGTGGTGGGGGGGGGGGGGGGGGGCGTTCGGGTCGCGGCTCCTCGGGCAGGGGCGGTCGGGCAGGGGCGGCTTGCGGCTGCCTTGGCGCTGCTCGCACGAGAGCTGTGTGAGGAGGGCCACATCTCGGCCTCATCTCGGCCTCATCTCGGCCACATCTCGGCCACATCTCGGCCACATCTCGGCCACATCTCGGCTACGTCTCGCCCGACAGCTTTGAGAGGAAAGCAGCCCACGTCTCGTTGATTGCGGCGTACGCTCCTCCGCCGGGCGAGGAGCGCACCTGCAGGGAGGGGTCCGGGAAGAGTCCGGGAAGGAGTCGGGTGCCGTGCCTCCCGCCACAGCGACGGGCCGCGCGTAGAGCAGTCCGATGTTGAGGAGGGCGAGGTGGCGGGGCCGCGTGCCGCAAGTCTGCAGGCCTGGCGCGACGGCGGAGTCGGCGGGGCGGCGCGGCGGTGCGCTGCAGGCGGGGCGGCGGTTGTTGTCGAGCATGGATGCGAAGTCGTGCTGCACCTGCGGAGGAGGGCGAGAGGGCACCTGCCTGAGAGGACACCTGCCTGAGAGGAGAGCCTCTCGGGGCGAGAGGACAGCCCCGCGGGGCGAGACGCGCGGGGCTGCCGCAGAGAGGGGGGGGGTGTGGCTGCGGCCGCACCACCATCTCAAACGGGCGGAGCAGCGGCGAGCGGAGCAGCGGGTACGGGTCCTGAGGGGCGAGGGGCGAGCGGGGTGGCGCCAGCTCCTTCGCAGAGGCAGCCGTGCCGAGGCAGCCGTGCACAGGCAGCCACGCCGAGGGGTGCGTCTCTCCAGCGTCTCTCCGTGATGTACCTCTGCAAAGTAGACGTCGGTGTCTCTCTACAGGTCTCTCCGTGATGTACCTCTGCAAAGTAGACGTCTGTGTCTCTCCAGCGTCTCTCCGTGATGTACCTCTGCAAAGTAGACGTCGGTGTGTCTCTACAGGTCTCTCCGTGATGTACCTCTGCAAAGTAGACGTCTGTGTCGGCGCGGAAGACGCGGTAGCCCAGCTCGAGGGCGCGCGCGACGTAGCGCCACTGCTGCGCCCACATGAGGAACATGTCCCCCGGCTTCAGTCTCCACGGCTCGAGGCCGGGGTGGTCGTCCCACAGAGTCGACCAGACGCACGACCGCTCGCAGTGCTCGGCCTGCAGCCTGCCGCACAGTCGCCTCGTCGAGAGGATCAGCCAGTTCTCGCGCCCGAGCGCGCGCAGGTTGGCTAGCAGGTGGAGCAGAAAGTCGGTCGAGATGTCCTTGAGCGCCGGGTCCTTGGCGACGCGCCGGTGGTCGCGCGTGTCGCCCACAGAAAGAAAGATGAGCTCGCCCTCGACTGCACGCGCAGCAAAGGCTGCCTCGAGCACGCCACTGGCTTCCAGATCGCCGCCGGGGATGGGACGCGGGCCACTGCCGCGCGCCGTCGCACCCGGCCGTCCGGCGCAAGGGTCGCGAATCTTCTCGAGAGCGGCGGGCGTGGATACCGCCGTCCCTGCCTTTGGCTGTGCGTGAGGCTGGCTGGCTGGCTGGCTGCTGTGCCGAGCGCCGTAGAAGGAGGACGAGTTGGCGGAGAGCGCTGGACTCGGCACGCCCGCGCGGCGCAAGGCCTCCCGCAGGCTGCTCGCCTCGGCCCGTGCCTCGCGAAGGTCGGACTGCGCCTCCTCGAGCTCCTCCTCGAGCTCCAGGAACATGGTCTCTAGCTGGTGCGTGTCTGCAGCACCACCGAGCGGCGACAGCACGAGCCATCCGCCAAAGATGACGGCGCAGAAGCACAGCAGGCAGGCAAGCACCCTCTTCTCCGCCTCAAGCAATGGCATCCGGGACGCTGGTGGGCTGGGGCCACGACAGTACCTCGGCAAGAACTGGCGCGCACACCACAATCGCAGGCTCGACAAAAAGAATTTTTATCGTTGGTCAAAAGAATTTTAGACGTCTCGCACGACACTAGGCACGGAAAGAGGCAGACGCCCAAGGGTGGGCGACGGCTAGCGCACCACACCCCTCTTCTTAAAATCGGGTCACTCCTCATCGCAAACCCTGTCAGCACTCAGCAGTCCTCCTCCGGGAATGTACGTCAGAGCCACATACATTGAAAATCCCTGTGTGGTGGCGGCGTGCCGTCCTCCCATCCCTCCCTTGGGTAGTCACGTTTCTTTCTTTCTTTTACTAGGCACGGGACTGGCGCGCACTGGCACTAACAAGAATTCTACGATGCCTAAGTTGCGAGAGACTGCCAGTGAGTCCTCCTCCCCCATCCCTCGTTAGGGTGTGTGTGTGTTTTCTTTCTTTCTTTCTTACTGCCAGTGAGAAACTGGAGGAAGGTCGCCAGATGGAGATGAGACCGCCAGTGCGCAGTGGAGTAGGGAGTCCACCGAGCACCGCGCTGCGAGCCTGTCGCTGTCCCTTGTCAGGAGCAGGAGAACTAGGAGAGCAACCAGTAGGAGGCCCGTGCCTGCCCCCGTGCCGCCGGGTGCAAGTTTGTCCTATATACGAGAGGGGAATCCCTGGGACCCTGTCTCGTGTGGCGGTGTGGGTGACCCCTGCGCCCAGCCCCCCCTCCGTGTCGCGCGATGCCCGATGCGCTCCCCACTCCCGTTCCCCAGTGTCCCTGATCGTCCTTCCAAGATCCTGCTCGCGCAGGTGGGGACCTTGTCCTCCTCCACCATCCCTCGTTTGGTTTGTCTGCAGTCTGGCTTTTCTGATCTTTTTAAGTTTTCGATGTGTGGGGCGCGTTTGGCGTATTTCTTGAACGTCGTTCCTCGCACAATCTAGGGAGGAGTTATAAAAGGAGGTCCAAGACGAGAACAAAGCGAGCCTTGTCTCCATTACTCACGCCCATCGTGCATCGTCCCGGTCGTGACCGTGCCAAGGCTGCGCCACCACCGGCGCGACGCCCTCCTCGCACGGGCTATCCGCGCGTCCGTTGAAGCCTTGCTGCATCTGGGCGATCCGGACCGGCTGCCACGGGGTGTCGGAATCGCCGACCGGCCGGTGCAGCGCGACCTGCCACATTATGCCGTAACAATCGCCCTTGCCGTCGGGCCCACGCGTGTAGTTGGGCTCGTTCCAGTGCCGGGAAGGGCAGTGATCAGGGAAGTCGGTGAGCTTCATCCCGCCGTGGGGCAGGTCCAGCGCGTTGATTAAGAACGGCAAAAACCAATGCTGCCACACGACGAGCAGCGTCTCCCCGGCCGTCAGCTCCCGCAGGACGTCGAGAGGCGCGTAGATGTGCATCATGTCTGCCGTCTCTATCTTGAGGCGCAGCCGCCTCGCCAGCGGGGCTACGGTGTCGTGCGGCCGATTCGACATGTTGCGATGGCTGACCAGCAGCCTAGTCGGCGGCCCGATCGGAAAGGCCAGCGACGGGCTCCGCTCCACGCAGCGACTCAGGTACTCGGCCCGTTGGGCGCCATCCCTGGTCAGCCCGGTTTCGGATGTGTTCTGAGAGCGCTCCCCGTGACGGATGAAGACCAGATACGCGACATCGACCGCGCCGTCGCGACCCGCTCTGCTGCTGTACCGTGGTGCCGGAGGCGCGGGAGGAAAGAGCCCCTTACCCGCGTCCATTGGCGATCGGAGGCGGCCGAGGCCAGACACATAGAGCAGCGCGGCGCCACAGACGGCAGCGAGAGAGTGCGACACGACCAGCGAGGCGGCGCGGCAGCGAGCGTCTGGCGAGCGAGGAGTGCCCACGAGGAGCGGCTTCCCGAGCGGGTCGCTCATTTGACGGTCTGGGCTAGCTTAGATCACGGGGACGCACGCCCGACAAAACTTCGTGGCCTCTTGAGCACTTGATGGGCGTTGATAGGGCCGATTCCGAATGGTACGGGACCCCTCGATCGTCTCGCCCTCCCTCACTGGTGTGTTCATTGGGGGAAAACTTCTTTTGCAGTGTCCTCTAGTCTCTCTCTCTCTCTCTCGCAGTGTAGTTGTACGTACTTTTAGCTTACTGGGAGAAAAGGGAGGGGGGTTGTGTTCTCTAGGCCCCTAACGGCCCTACGCGCGGCGTGAGAGCTCGGAAGCGAGCTTTGCACGGCGATCGAGGTTGTAGGTAGTTAGTAATACTTTTGAGCACTTGAGCACTGGATAGGGTCGATTCCGCATGGTACGGGACCCCTCGACGTCGTCTCGCCCTCCCTCACTGGTAATACTTTTAGCTTAAATGGGAGAAAAGGGAGAGGGGGGCGCGCTCTCTAGGCCTTTGGGGGCGGCCTACCCACTCAGCGCAGTCGGTCGGAGAAAGAAGCTCAGTGTACTCTCACAGACTCTCTCTCTCTCTCTCTCTCTCTCTCTCTCTCTCTCCTACACACTACAGTGTACGTACTTTTAGCTTACTTGAGCACTTGAGCACTTGATAGGGTCGATTCCGCATGGTACGGGACCCCTCGATCGTCTCGCCCACCCTCACTGGTGTGTTCATTGGGGGGGGTCATAACAAACACGGTACAGGATCGAGGTGCACGCTGCAGAAGCAGTGTCGTCCCCCCTCTCCCCGACGGCGATGGCGGTGTGACCAATCGAGCTACAAGAGGAGCTTGTTCAGCAGGATCCGGGATAGTCAGATGCACTACCTCACTGGGCCTGAGACCACCACACGACAGCATCCCGTCACCGTCTCGGATTTATGTGGGGTCGAACCACTCCGGGATGGGCAAGCCCATCAATTTTCTGGTTAATTGTCCAATTCCTGTTGTGCAAGAGGGGAGGGGGCTCTGACGGAGTGGGTGGCGGGAGAGGGCAGGGAAAGGGCGCGGGAGGGGGGGGGGGGGGGGGCTCAGCCGTGCAAAAAGCATCAATTAATATCAGTAACCTGCCTCCGGCGGGGCCCCCCGCTACATTTACCCCCCCCCCCTTAGTACCAAAACTCTAAGACGAAGTAAATACGGTATGCCACGGTCACGCGCACACGCGACCTCCCACGCACCACCTCTGAAGATCTCGAATAGCTGCCTCCTCGCGTTTGCGGTGACGCTCCCTGCGACAATTGCTCTCGGCTTGGGACTCTCCCGCCGCGGGAGGCAGATCATACCCCACCGCCGTACTAAGGCCGTCCTCCTGCTGCCAGGTGCCGCACGCAAAGTCGCACGCATCGCATCGCCAGCGCACCGCAACATCCGGCACATCACCCTTGCATTGAGCACAGGTCTTCGACGCAGTCAGAGATGAGATGATGGCTTGGTCTTGCCGCAACGTGGCTCTGTCTCCATAGAAATCATCATAGAACTTTGCAAGGTACTCATACGACGTCTCAGGCACACGTCCCATCGCCACCGCGCCACTGACTTGGTGACGTCCTACCAAGTCCCAGGCGACGTGGTCCCAGCCATCACTTTCGAAGTCGTGACGCAGCCAAGCAGCCATCACAGCATCTGTTGATCGCCCAACCCCATTCACATCGGAGGTAATCGTCATCAGCTGCACTGGCGCACCACAGCAATTACTCTCCAACATCGACGACGGCCACTTCTCCCCATCTGGGGCTACCGGATTCTTGACATCTTGAGGTAGTCATCTAAATCGCCTACGTTGGGATATAAATATCCGGGAAATCCGCACAAGGGGCGGAAGTGGGCGTCGTCGACCGTCACGTGGATCTCGCGAAAAGCAGTAAGCTCGTCAACGAGCTTCAGCTCGCCCACCACTAAGCTCCCCGGCTCGATCAGGGGCAGCTGCCGCGCAATCCAAGGCGCACTGATTAGCAGCTCCGCAGAGAGCCCATACGGTGGCACATCAACCGGCAGCCGTACTGCTTCGCTGAAGTCCATTGACCTGATCGCCCGCTCCTCGCGCTTGCGGTGCCGGTCGTCGCGCCGCTTTGAGGCGCTCGCCGGCTCGCCGTCGGGTGGCAGCGTGTAGTCGACCGTCGCGCTAACCGGACGCTTCGAGCCGAGCGGCGTCGTCACAACCGCGCTGATCGAGCGCGTCGCGTGCTGCTTGCCGGGCGAGACGACCTGCGCCGACACGCTCAGCTGCTTCACGCCCGGTGCGTGCTCGTCAATCCAGCCGGGCTGTGCGAGGAGGCTGCTGCCCGCCGCCGAGCCGCTGCCCCCGGGCTGGCTGTGTAGCGACGCGCGCATCTGCTCGAGCTCGCGGAGCTTGTCCAACCAATTCGAAACCTCCCTCCGCTGCTTTATCGGCTTGCCCATCGCCGCAGCCGCGGCGAACTCATCTGGGTGTTGGCCGCAGAGCATGGCCTGCGCCGCGGCGACGAGCCGCCAGTCCGCCTTCTTCGACTTGATCAGGGCCGCATCCTTGAGCGCAGCGACTGTCGCCTTCGCGTCGGCCTCGGCCATGCTGAGTCTACCCGCCGAACTCACGATTTTGGGCGCTCAAAAGCGCCGACTTTCTGGCACGTCAAACACAGAGAGCGAGCAATAGTCGACAAAAGCACTGATCTGTGGGCAGCAGATCTCCATGTCGGTCGCGCCCAGCGAGAGGAGAACCGCGGGCCTCGGATGCTTGCCCGGACGCGGACCCGCCGTGCGAGTTGCAGACCCGGAGGAGGCCGACCCAGCTCACCCCCAGAGAGGCCATGCCCAGAGTCAGCCATAAAAGGGGGGTCTGTTTCCGTCCGTATATTAGCTTACTTGTCATGTAGGAGCAGCTGCACGCCTTCGAGCTGCACGGCTGGAGGCAGACAACACAGGAGGTTTCCGCCTGTCCCTCGGCCATCGATATGCGGACCGAAATGCGCTGCGCCGCTGCCTGCGCGGCCACCGCCGCGGGTGGTGGCGCGGCCGCCGCCGCGGGCTCTCTCGTGGCCAACTTGCCCGCTGGTTTTCGGTCGGGATGAGGGACCGCGGCGCTTGGTGACGACATAGCTGGCGAAATGGACGGTTCGACAGATTTCGCATTGAGGGGGGGGGTTGCGGGGCCGTTCTGGCACGTGAATTGGAGCGAGGCCGGCGGCGGCACCATGCAGCAGCTTGGTGCAGAACCCGTGGATGCACGACACTATAGGCGTGCATATCTAGGAGGAGGATCTAAAGAAAGTGGCGACGATTCAAGTGGCGACGATTCAAGTTACCGCGCCCCTGGCGCACTTGCTTGAGCACTGAGAGAGCACTGTGGATAGGGTCGATTCCGCATGGTACGGGACCCCTCGATCGTCTCGCCCTTCCCTCGCTGGTGTGTTCAGGGGGGGGGGGGGGTCATAACAAACACGGTACAGGATCGAGGTGCACGCTGCTGAGGCACAGTGTCTCGTCCCCCGCCCTCCATCATCTCACTGGGAGACGTCGGCGGTGGTGTGGCGGTGTGTGACCGATCGAGCTACAATAGGAACTTCGGTTCAGCAGGATCCGCACCGGGATAGTCGCCCCTTTCAGAACGTCCGGTGCTCTTGTTTTTGTTGTTTGCCGGTTCGTCGCCTGCCTCATAGGACATAGCGGGTGGGTAGGCCCTAAAACGGCGGGAGGGGTAGGGCTATAATAATATCGACAGAGCTAGAGGGCTAACCACCCCTCCAGAAGCAGAGAAGCTTCAAGCTAAGAAGCGCACCCAGGGGTTCCGTACCATGCGGAATCGACCCTATCCAGTGCTCACGTGTCGGACTAGACATTGTGCGAATTTCGGCGGTTTACCCCTCGCTCGCTCAAGTGCTCAAGCGCACCCAGCGCGGGCCGGATGATTGGCATCGGGCTAGGGCAAGAGAGCCCTGACCCCTAGGGGGGGTGCGCGTTCGCAGGGAAGGGGCCGTAAAGTAAACACGGGTCTCCGAGGGGGCTCCGCGCTTTGGGTTTCCCCTACCTAGCGGCAGAACGCCCCCTCTACTCGGAGCTAATAGACAGACGCGTACCACGACACACTCAACCGGCATCGCCGCTTGGAACCCCCCGCTCAGACCACTTGGTAAGTAGTCGGAAGAGAGAGACAAACATTTAAAGCATAAAGGCAGGCGACGAACCGGCAAACAACAAAAACAAGAGCACCGGACGTTCTGAAAGGGGCGACTATCCCGGTGCGGATCCTGCTGAACCGAAGTTCCTATTGTAGCTCGATCGGTCACACACCGCCGTGCGAGCCCCGCAGAGGTGCGGGCGAGAGGGCGGCCCGAGCCCGAAAGGGCCCGCCCTCGGCGTTGCTCTACATGGTAACGGATAAGAAGAGAAAAACCCCCGGACTGGGACGCCGGCAGTCGAGTCGGGACACGCTGTGGTTCAGACGTCCCCCCCCTCGACGCAGTCGAGTCACTGACATGAATAGGGAGGAGAAAGTGTCCCCCACATATCACCACAGACGCAGCACAGGGGCTCCAATCCTGTCCCAGCCTGGGGGGCCTCGCTAGATCTCCAGTGGGGAGTGCGAGGGCTGGATCGACTGCAGTGTGGGTTGTGGACCGTCGGGATAGCGTGTGGCGTAGATGTTCTCCTGGAAGTAGAGAGGCCGATGTCTCTCGCCCTGCAGGAAGGAGAAACTCGGATGGTTGAGTGAAAACTCCTCCCTGCGGTATGTGCGCAGAACGGGTTGCGCTATGTGCAGCACGGTGTTGAGGGCTCGGGAGGGCAACGACGGCGGCGTTGCCGAGCTCGTACAGGGGCCTCAATCCTGTCCCTGATGGGGTGCGCCTCTCGCCGCGCGCGTAGCAGTCGGCGCGCGGGTAGCCTCAGAGATGCGCAGAGCGAGATGCGGTTATCGGCGAACCAAGCCCTGGGCTTGGATAGGGCGCGGCGTAGCCGCGGCGCAGTGGATAGCGTGAAGAGCCCACTCACTGTCGTGAGCAGACCGCCGCTACCACGTGCGAGCCCCGCAGAGGTGCGGGCGAGAGGGCGGCCCGAGCCCGAAAGGGCCCGCCCTCGGCGTTGCTCTACATGGTAACGGATAAGAAGAGAAAAACCCCCGGACTGGGACGCCGGCAGTCGAGTCGGGACACGCTGTGGTTCAGACGACCGCCACCACCGCCGACGTCTCCCAGTGAGATGATGGAGGGCGGGGGACGAGACACTGTGCCTCAGCAGCGTGCACCTCGATCCTGTACCGTGTTTGTTATGACCCCCCCCCCCCCCTGAACACACCAGCGAGGGAAGGGCGAGACGATCGAGGGGTCCCGTACCATGCGGAATCGACCCTATCCACAGTGCTCTCTCAGTGCTCAAGCAAGCAAGTGCGCCAGGGGCGCGGTATAAACTTGAATCGTCGCCACTTGAATCGTCGCCACTTTCTTTAGATCCTCCTCCTAGATATGCACGCCTATAGTGTCGTGCATCCACGGGTTCTGCACCAAGCTGCTGCATGGTGCCGCCGCCGGCCTCGCTCCAATTCACGTGCCAGAACGGCCCCGCAACCCCCCCCCTCAATGCGAAATCTGTCGAACCGTCCATTTCGCCAGCTATGTCGTCACCAAGCGCCGCGGTCCCTCATCCCGACCGAAAACCAGCGGGCAAGTTGGCCACGAGAGAGCCCGCGGCGGCGGCCGCGCCACCACCCGCGGCGGTGGCCGCGCAGGCAGCGGCGCAGCGCATTTCGGTCCGCATATCGATGGCCGAGGGACAGGCGGAAACCTCCTGTGTTGTCTGCCTCCAGCCGTGCAGCTCGAAGGCGTGCAGCTGCTCCTACATGCACAAGGACTGCGCCGAGCAATACGCGAAGACCTTTAGCGCCGCCAAATGCAAGGTGTGCGGCGTGGGCTTTGAGCCATCGCGGCTCAACAAGAGGAAGATTGATGACGAGGACCGGCGAGGGGAGGAGCTCGCCCGCAAACGCGCGAGGGAGCGAGCAGCCACCGAGCGCGCCACCAACCTCGAGTGGGCGCGTCTCGTCGCGCCTAGCGCCGCCCACATCCTGCTGCGCCACTACCGGCACGCTGAGGAGGAGAGCGGGCCAGGCGCGGCCGAGGTGCGGCCCCTCTGTTTCGACTCTGTGGTGCTGAGCCTCGTCCACTCGGGCGAGCAGTACCTCGACGACCTCTCGGAGCGGCTCTGCGACACACAGCCTCAGAGCACCGTCGAGGTGGCCGCGCCTCACGACACGCCTCACCCGCGGGGGAGTGAGGGGGGGGGAGCGCACGCGCCCTCTTCGCGCCGCGGCAGACGCGAGGGCTCTGGCCCGGTCCCCGCCGCAGGCAGCGGTGTCGCGCCTGCGCTCCATCGCGGACGATCTGATGACCGAAGGGGTCGACGCCTCCTGCGGCGCCCTCTTCATGCGCCTCTTCAACCAGGTGCTCGAGCGGCGGCTCGGGCCGCCTTAAGGACTCGGCGCCCGCCTCTACGTCCCGGACGCATGGCATGCGCAGTTGCCTGCACGCTTCCGTCCCAGACCTGACATCGCACCACATGCGCGCCCCCCACCTTGGCATCCCAACACTCGCCGAGCCCCAGCCGGCGCGGCAGAGTCGAGCAGATGCGGCGCTGCTCTACGAGCGAGAGCCGTACGATACACACCGCATTACACCGGAGCCGGTCCAGTGCCAAAGGTACTGAGACCACTGCCTCTTGTACATACCCCGCGCCCTGTTCTCCTTTTGCCTTTGTATGATTATGGATCCCACTGAAAAAGCAAAACTCGCGCTGTGAATGCCGGTCAGTTGGCATGTCGCACCGGCGTTTCTAAATTGTGGGGGGGCGTGTGGGCCCCTGGGCCGGGGGCGGGGGGCGCGCGCCAACTTCTTTACGGCCACTGGGGAGCAGAGCGGGCTCGAGTGTGCTCGCGGGGGAGGCCCTGGGGCGCGGCTAGCCGACGCGGGGAGCGCAGAGCAAGGGCCAAGGCCCGACGGGCTGAAGAGGGCCTCCGCCGCAGAGAGTGGCGGCCCCCTCTCTCCGCCAGGCGCGCCGCAGAGAAGCCTCCCGCGTCGCCCCGCTCGCGGAGAGCCACCCCTCTTGCCCTGTACGGGCCCTCTCCACAGGCCCACGGGCCTGGCTCTGCCTCTCCACTCGTTCTGCTCTGCTCGCTCTACTCGCTCTGCTGGCTCTGCTCTACTGGCTGTGCGACATCATCCGCTTCTTTCCGTTGTGGCGCGCGGCCGCCTCCTGGTGGGAGGGGTGCATCGAGCCGGAGACCTGCGGGGAGGGGAGGGGGGGGT